AGGAATCTGGCCCTGTCTGGGGCTGGTACAGGTCAACTCAGCCGAAGAGCTGAGTCTTAAAGGTTAAGTAAGAGTTAGCCAGGGACAGAAGGGTGAAGTGTGGAAGAGCATTCTAGGCAGAAGGAATACCATATAGCATATGCAAAAGAAATGGGATGTTATTGGATAGGGCCAGAATTCTTAACCTGGGGTGCATGGGTCTCAGATGGGCTTCAGGAAGCCCACGAGCCTCCTGAAATTGAATGCAAAATATTGCATGCATATACCTCTGTGCATTTTTTGGTGGAGGAGATGATCCATGGCTTTCATTAAGTGCACAAAGGGGTTTGCATTCCCCAAAAAAGGTTGAGAACCAATATTGTTGGTGACAAAGTGTCAATCGAATGGATTCTAAATAGGAGAGTAATTTGGTAAAATTTGTGTTTTAGAAATATCACATTAGCAGTCAGTATGAAAAATGGGTTGTATGCAGGGAGACCAGCTGGAAGGCCTAAACTGGGGTATTGGCAGAGAAGAAATGGATTCGAGGAGGGCTACTGTGTTGCACGACTCCAGTGAGCACCATTTGTTGAGAAGCATTTCAATTTCAAATTATAGAATCCAAATCCTTTGAGAGTTATTAATGAGATAGACTCAATAGAAGTGTCAGATGACATAAACTGTTGTGGATGTAGAAGGTGAGGGAAAGGGAAAAGGTGAGGATGAGTGAAAGTTAGCAGAGGGCCACAGGGACATGAGTCCATGCCAGTGTTACAGTGCAAGAGGAAAAGGGAACCTCTATTAATGCTCACCCAACATCCAGAGTCCTTGGTCTCAGACATATTTACTAACTTCCATCCTGCCTGGTTCTCAGAGATCCCGAATGACACTGGCAATACTTATTTCCATGTGGATTTTGCAGAGGAATTACTTTTGCTTCGTGAGTCAGGTCAAGTTTCCTGAAGAAAGTTGTGTTTGAGTCAGTCATTCAAGGTCCATGACGATTTTGAGAGGTAGAGATGGGGGAGGAGGTGCTGACAGTGTGCACAAAGGCCTGGAGGTGAGCAAGATGAAATCAGACATTGGAGAGTGCAGAGGTCAGGGTTACCTCAAGCAGCTGTCTGAAGAGTACAGGCTTTTTAGTTTATTTTATTTTTGGTAGGCAGCTGGAGAGCCACGAGCAGTTCTTGAGTAGGAAAAGAGGAAAAGTGACATGACCAAATTAGCATTTTAGAAGGGAGATAAGGGAGGAGGCCAAGGGAGAGAGAAGCCAAGGTCATGGGCATAGAGCAGAGGAGATGGATTTGAGAGGTGATCGTGAGGAATAGAGGACTGGCATCAGAGACTGAAGAGGTAACCGGGGAGAGGAGGAAGTGGAGATGACCAAGGCTGGACTTTGCGGTAAGTTGGAGCGTTCAGGGCTGGCACTAGATTCATTCATTCACTGAATGTTTATTGAATGCCAGGCACTGTGCTAGGCACTAGGGGTATAGCACTGAACAGAACGGATGCCTGTCCTGATGGATCTTACAGTGAGTGAGACAGATAAATAAATAGACAACTAAATGTCTAGAGTGTGTCTGATGTTAAGTGCTATGCAGAAAAATAAAGCTGGGGTGATGAGGTAGAGAATGTTGGGGTGCCTTTTGAGAGGGAGGGCCTCTCTGATGAGGCAGTATTTGAGCAGAGGCTTGAAGGAGGCAAGGGAGTGAGCCGTGTACCTGTCAGGGACGATGTTCCAGAGAGAAGGAACCTCAGGTGTAAAGGCCCCGAGGCAAGAGTGTGTTTGGTCTGTTTGAGGAACAGCATGGAGACCAGTGTGATGGGAAAAGGCTGAAGAAGGAGTAGAGGAGTAGAATATGAGGTAGAGGCGACATCACAGTCTATCTTTTAGAGCTATTTAGGAGGTAGAGTCCACAGGATTTGGTGACTGACTTGCTAAGGGGGCAGGAAGAATCTAGGGTGACTCCAAGGTATGTTTTGGGCTCAAGCGACTGGATAAATGGTGGTGCCTTGAGGACAGTGGTGAGATGCTGAGTCAGAGGTCCCTACCCAAAGGGCTGTCCTGGTAGAGCTGTCCAGCACGCATTGAGCTCCACAGGTCAAGAGAGGGATCCACACCTGAAGTTATGAAAGGGAATGAGATTACTGAAAAAGAGTGTGGAATGAAAGAGAAGAGGACCAGAGCAGAACGTGTAGGGAAGGAGCCCAGGAAGAAATGGGGACAGGGTCAGAAAAGTAGGAGGAAAAGCAGTGCGAGTGGGCTCATAGAAGCAGAGGAAGGAAAGGGCCATGCAGAGGAGGGCCTTGTTAAGAGTGTCAAATGTTGCAGCCTGCAGGGAGTAAGCCGAGGGTGGAAGACAGTCTATTGGCTTTAACCATCAGGAGGGCCAGGATGACCTTCCTCAGAACAGCTTCTGTGGCGTTGTGGGCGCATGAGGCAGATTGCAGTGGGTCGAAGAGCTCGTGGGAGGTATTGAAGTGAAGCAGAGATGGCCAGTGTAGATGGGTTTCTTAAGAAGAAGCTTAGCTGTGAAGAGGAGAGAGGGACAGAGGGGGATGTGGGGGCAGATAGAGGGTTTTTATTCCCAGATGGGAGAGACTTGAGCTTCTATAAATGTTGATAGGAAAGAGGCAACAGAGGGGGAGAGGTTGAAAACGCAAGAGGGAGAGGGGATGATTGTTGTGGAGGAGGTAATGGGGATGAGCTCCAGAGTCCAGGTGGAGAGACTGGCCTTAAATGCTAGAGGGGTCCTCTCTTTCTTACAGAGGAGCAAAGCAGTGGTAGTGGTGGGATACGAGGGTATTGAGGCGGGTTGGTGAAAGAAATACTTCAGGAAAGTTCAAAGCAACAAATGGAAAGCCCTGACCAAGGGCACGGATGCTGGAGCTGGGAGGAAGCAGAGAATACTTCTGGCTAGGACTTCCTGTAGGAAGCGTCACTAGAGCTGGGTCAGGAAATTCAGACGGGATTGCAATAAGCAAAGATCTGTGCAGAGGGAAGAGCATTCTAAGTGGAAGAAACAGAATCAGCACACAACATAGAGCTGTGAAAAGACCAGGCATGCTAATGGAATAATGAACAAGCTAGCTTGATGAAGGCTGGACAGGAGTCACTAGGGAACATGGATGCCACCATAATGGCCGCTGTAGTAAGCACCAGCCTTGCTTAGGACATACTTGAATTCCTTTAGTCCCACCGCACCCTGCAGAATAGGTATTTCCTCAGTTTACAGGTAAGGAAAGTGAGTCCTGGAATGGTGAAGAAATGGACCCAAGGTCACCCATCTGGCTCCACAGCCTGTGCTTTTGCCACCTAACAGGAAAGGCCTGGTGAGGCCAGATGATAGGAGAGCCTTGAATGCCAACTTGAGGACCCTGAACTTTATCCAGGAGGCAGTGGGTGTTTGAGCAGAAGAGATGCATGCTTGAAGGTGGGCTTTAGGAAGGCGAAGGCAGTTCAAGAGGGGAGGGAGAAGAAATCAGGAGATGACCGCGGTGTTAGGGGAAAGGAAGCAGTGGCCTAGCCTGGAAAAGAAGGGAGTGAGCGCTAGGACTGGAATGTCATTTGTTCCTCATGACAGCCTCGAGAGGTGTGGATCTTTCCTCTCTTTTTATAGACGAGGAATGGGAGACTCAGAAAGGGAGGGCTACTTGCCCAGGACTTGTGCCCTGCTTCATGTGATTTTGCTGATTCAGGAAGTCTGTGGAACAATGTGTCAGAGGGAGCTCTGAGTCTGAGAAAGGCGTGTGCGCGCGCGTGTGTGCGTGTCTGTCCGTCAGATGGACAGCAGTGCCTTCCCTTCCTTTCCCTTCCCTTCCCTGTCTGCATTCCTCCCCATCTCTTGCCATTCTTCCAGTTTCCTAGATTCCACAATTCCTGCATCTCCTGAGTCTGGGAATGGGGGTAACTTTCATTGTCTGTCCCCAGAAGCTCAGCCTTTCACTCGCAAGCCACCTGGTCCCCTCCTAGCCCCACTGTCTTTCCATCCAACATATGAAACTGTAGCCCAGCACCAGTGACTGCCACATGCAGCCTGGCCCCTGGTACTGTTCAGCAGCCCCCTAGGGATAGGTGGTTGTTCCTGCAGCGACTCTTCTCCCACTGCTTTGGCTGCTTCTGTGAATTAGAGTCACAGAAGGCCACTTTGAGAATTAGATTTGGCTCACGAGTAGTTAATAATCACCACCATGTTCCCATTGCTGTTGTTTGCCAGGCGCTTGAGGTATGTTCTAGTTCTTGCAACAGTCCTAGGAGGTTCACGTCATGAGCCCCATTTTTACAGATGAGGAAACTGAGGCTCCAGGAGTGGCAATAATGCGCTCTAGGGCAGGTAGCCTGGAACCACTTATAGAGCTGAGATTTGAACCCAGGTCTGTTTGCTTCCAAAGCTGTGGGCTTTCCCTACTCCACTGCTAAGTATCTCCCATTTTCCTGGGCCTGAGCCTTCAGGAACTACAAATCCTTGTCCTTCAAGAGCAGGGTGGGTTTCTAGAGGTAGTGCCAAGTTCACCCGAAGGACCTAGTGGGATGAGTCTGAGACTTGGAACTCCAAGAACCCTGGGTTCAGATCCTGACTCTACCACTTACCTAGCTGTGTGACCTGGAGCAAGTTCTCTAACCTCTCTGAGCTTTAATTCCCTCAACTCTCAAATGCTCCTCTGCAGAGCTGTTGTGGGGGCTAAGTGAGATGATGTGTGCAAACTGAGAGCAGGTTGCTGTTATACTAAAATGAGGGTCAGCCACCTGGCAGGGTTAGAAAAGGAGTTGATAAACGCTGAGGGTGACCTTAATACTGAGCCCAGGCTAGGTATGGGGGAGGGCTGTCCCAGGAGGGGACCAGCCACACTGAGTTGGATAATCCATCACACTGACCTCCCCACCCCGACCCCCATTCCAGTCCCACCTTCTGGTTCCGGCCCTGGCCCTTCGCGTATCTCCCCTGCTCTGCAAACTAATGCCTCTGCCTCTCTCTGTCACCCGCCGCCTGTGGCCTCTACCCTGCCCTTCCTGGCCCCAGGGAAGAGGAGGAGGAGGAGGAGGAGGAGGAGACTGAGGAAGAGGAAGAGGAAGACGCTCACCAGTTCTGCTGTCCGGCCTCCGAGTGCAGTAGTCCCTCCTCTCGGTAACTGAGAGGACAAGGGCCATTTTCTATGCAGAAGCAAAAGCCTTAACCAGCCCCTCCTTCACCCTGCCCACCCCCCGCAGATCCCCCATGGGACCCTGTCCCCTGCTTCAGGAACCAGATGGGCAAGCATTGTACCCCTTCCTCCCCCAATCTCCTTCTTGGAATTCCCATCCCCACTGCTGTCTCCTCTGGACTCCAGCCCCTGAATTAAAGAGAGCTGGAGCCCTAGGTCTGACTAAAATGTGGGAGAAGCAGAGCTTGGAGCTTGGAACCTAGACACTCCTGTACCCACACTCCCACTTCCCAGGCACCCTGGAGCCTGCCACTCCTGGAGAGGTCTCCAAATGACATCCCAAGGACCTACCTCTGTCCTCTGTGAGCACAAACAGAGATGCAGGGTGCCTAGGGCTCAGAGGACCAGACGGGGGCAGGACCCAGCCTGCCTAGTTCCCTGTCGTTTGTTCCCTTGCTGTGGCCATTGCTGCCATCTCCTCCACTGCTTGAAGGCCTCACCCCATGCCCTCCACCACTCCCATAGTGCTCTGTAAATATGATCAGGAGGAAAAGGCCTCTTAGAGTGCGTGTTGCTATGTACCAAGGAATTTCCATCAATAAAAGCTGATCTCTTCTCTCTGTCTGATGTATATTCCACCCAACCCCACTTCCCTCTTCCCATCCCCACCAGGGCCTTGCCTTCTTTCCTATCCAGAGCTGGGAACAGGGGCCAGGAAAGAGAGTAGGGTTTGATTTGTGGTTTTGTCAACACCCAAGAGGCACTCAATAAATGCGTGAATGACTCCTAACACGGGCAGGCTAACCTTGGATGTGTCGCATGACCTCTGTGACACATAGTTTCCCCATCTGTAAAAAGGAGAAGGGTTGGATTAGAGGGTCTCCAATGGCTCTTCCAGCTGTGACATTCTGTGAATCTGAGATGCTACAGTTTTAAGAAGCTATAATTATGTGAATTTAATATACAGTGATTCAGTGGCACCTTCCAGTGCAATTTTGTGATTTCTGTTTCTACACTGCTGTGATTTTTGGATTCTCTAATCCTGTGGTTTTAAGATTACATAATTCTACCATTTGAACAAATTCTAATGATGCAATTTTAATATTCTGCAATGTTAAGATTCCTTGAGTGTTTACTTTTAAGGTTCTGATTCTACAACTTTAGGGATCTGAATCTGAGAGGAAGCCATTTCCCCCCGTGCAACAACCTTAAATATTCCCTGCGCCTGGCCAGAGGCTGGTTCTAAGACTCCCTAGAGGCTGTCAGCTGGAGAGTGGAAGATGTCCTTTATGGGTCTGTAGGACTCACACCTTCCATAATGTGTCTGTGTTAGGAGCACAGCCGGGAAACCCCAAAGTGGGCTCATACCTCTGACTTTCCCTCTCTGAGCCTTTGGTATTAGACAGATCTGAGTTTACCTTCTGGTTCTGCCACTTACCTCTGTATAACCTTGAGCAAGTTTTTTCTTCTCCTTGAGCTTTATTTTCCTCCTGAGCACAGTGAGAATATATCTACCTCTCTGGGTTGTCATGAAGATTAGCAAGAAAGAACACAACGAGCCCAGCATAGGGGCTGGTGCACTGTGGGGCAAGTGTGCTGTGATTGGTGGCTCTTGTTTTGATTAAGGCCCAGGTGAGAGTTTTCTCCTGTCTTTTCTTTCCTCCCTCCTTTCAGCATCCCTATCACATTGAACCTCCAGGTTTTCTAGAATCTCACTTCCTTCCCTCATTATTTCTTCACTTGCTCAACTCATCTACTCATTCACTCATTCAAAGTCTATTTATTTCTCCCCTCCCTCCCTGCCTCCCTCCCTTATTTACTCTTCTTCATTCTACCCAACAAAGCATTGCTTGAGCCCTTACTGGGTACAAGGCCTGACGCTAAATACTGTGAGAGATCCACAGTAAGACAGAGGCCGGGTGTGGTGGCTCACACCTGTAATTCCAGCCCTTTGGGAGGCTGAGGCAGGCAGATGGCTTGAGGCCAGGAGTTTGAGACCAGCCTGGACAACAGAGGGAGACCCCATCTCTACAAAAAGATTTTTTTTAAGTAAGACAGTGGCTGTGTCCCCTGTGAGTTCTCCATCTCCCAGGGGAGGTGGGAGATGAGAAATCCTTTGGGAAAGTAGGAAGGATGCAAAGGGTTGAAATGATTGGACAGGAATGGCTTCAGTGACGAGCACATTTTGTTCCTGGCCTAAAGAGGAAGGAGATGTCAAGGTGGGTGGGGAGGTATGGTGTCCAGGAGGGCTTGTTGGAGGAAGAGGTGCAAGAACTGTGCCTTGAAGACTGGTAAGGTTTTGAATTGGTGGCAAGGGGTGAGAAGGCATCCCAGGAGGCAGGAACTGCATAGACAGAAACCTGGGGAGAGCTCCACGGTCATGCAGGGGAATGGTGGGTACATTACTCTGTTCACCTGGCTCTCCAGGGTGTGTGAATGTAGATGACCTGGGGCTGGGGAGGAGGAGACCATTCTACCCTTCTGCTAAAGGGAGAGAAAAGCAAGTATGGGGGTGGCGACAGGGGTTCAACTATATGGAGGGAGGGGGGCAAGTCAGGGTCAGATGGCCATCCTGAGCTGTGGGCAACTGAATTGGCTGAATTGGGCAGAGGGCTTGTGCTGTGGGAAGGGGGCAGTGTTTTGATCAGCTGTCAGAAAAATATGTGTGCACGCATGGCCTCCATGTGCCCGGGCATCCTCCTGCTTGTCTTTGCATGAAGCTCTGCAGGTCTCACAGTCATGAGAGACTGTGCACACTGCTGCGGAGCTGAGGGAATGTGATGATGTGAGACTGGGTGCGAGGAATTCTGAGTGTGAGGTTGATTGTGTGAAGTGGTGACTTCATGTACCTGGCAGGCTTGATGTGTGTGTCTGGTGGATGTAATCACAAGGCTTGGTGTGGGTGGCTTTTAAGCATGTGGAGCTATGGCCTTTAGGGTGACAGTTGTCAGTCAGGATGGTTACACACACGCAGAAACACGTGGCTTCTACCTGTGGTCTTAGAGGACCCAAGGTGGCTGCTGAGCAACTGAAGTGTGCTTAGCCCTAGCATGAGTGCCATAGGTCTGCAAAGGTGAATCATACTGAGCCGCTGCCCTTGGGAAACAGGAGGGGGTGTGGGGTGGGAGACAGAGACACTTTAAGAGAGAATCACGAGTTAGCCAGGGAGAAAGACTGACTGTGACATACAGGTATGCACAAGACACAGGGGAGGGAGTCACTGACCCTGTCTGTTCTGCGTGGGGCAGGAGTGAGTCAGCATTGACTTCTCAGAAGGACCAACCTGCTCAGGGTACTGCAAGATGAAGATGAGGTCACCAAGACCGGTCAAGTCCGGGGGTGAAGGGGAGACAGAGGACATTCTGGGCAGAAGAAACAAAGGAAGAATATGAGCACGGGCCTAGCGGTGTGGATCTACTTGCCATAGACTAGGAATTGCAAGTAGCCTGCTGTTGCCTATGACATTTAGGAGCTTACAGGGCAGGGTGGGAGGTGAGGGGTGGGAGAAAGGCCAGATTCAGAGGGGCTTCTGAAGCTAAGAATGGGCTGCTGGCCTAGAAGTGAGGGAGATTCTTGTCCTGTGCAACACTGGCCAAGTCACTTTGACTCTCTGGGCCTCCATTTGGGTCTGTGGGATTGGATGGTTCATAAAGCCTAGTCCGCCCAGTCCATCCCAGCTCTGTGCGTTTGCCTACCACCCTTGGCCAGCCACATCCATGAGTCATTGCTCTTGAAGTCAGGAGCTTCTTCCATCTAACCTCAGTCTTTCCTGCTTCCTCCTGGGTTGCTTCCTCATTCACCCACTCCACAAACATTTACCCAGCATTCGATCCCTTGCGTGCCACTGTGGGAAGGCACGTGGAGATGAAGAATGCAAGGACCGGACCTTGGAGGGACTGCTCAGTAGTGCCTGGGGCAGAGGGTGGGGTGGTGGTAAGAGCACAAGCTTTGTGTTCAGATACATTTTTTGTTTGAATCTTGGCTCCACCAGTGCCTAGCTTGGAGGCTTTGGGCAGGTGGCTTCATCTCTCTGTACCTTAGTTTCATCATCTGTGCTGTCCTCCTCAGAGAGAACAACCCAGACCTTGCAGAGTTGCTCTGCCTAGCAAAATGACAACTCGATAAATGACAACTATTATTTTTAGGGCCGCACAGCAGCAGAGCTGGGATTCAAACCCAGGTCTCTGCATTCCCAAAGCCTGTGTATACCCACTGCATACCCAGTCAGCTCAGCTTCTTTGAAGGCTTCCTTCTCCCCTGTCAGTTCCTGTGCCAAGTCAGGCTGGGTTTGGGCTTAGAATTCCTGTGACACTGAGATTGGGCAGCAGAACTAGTTTGCAGAAGAAATATTGGAGGGAGAGGTGGCTGCAGTTCCCCACCTCCTCCCTCCCCTGCCACTGGGTCCAGTCTCCTGGCCCAGTCTTCTCCTTCCAGAACCCAAAGCTCCCGGCTGGCCCCATCCAGGTACAATGACCTCCTCGTCTTGTTTTTTTGTCTCTACTTCCGGTCCGTCCCACCCCCTCCCCCCACTCCCCCCCTCCGCCACCTAAGTTGTCATGGGGATAGTCCTCATCATCCCTAGCTTCCTCTTGCCCTCATCTTATGATATCCATGGCAACAGCCCCCATTCGTTTCCATGGCAACTGCATCCTGATCCCATCCCCTGCTGGCTGCCTGGCTCCGGGCAGTGCCAATAAAGGGAAGGAGGAGAGAAGACCTCCCATTAGGAGCAGCATTCAGGGAGGGTTAGTGCCCCTGCCATGGGCAAGCCGGCCCCAGATCCCTGTGGAACATCCTACACTGCTTCTCCCCATATTAGTGCGTTGGCACACAAGGTTCCCTCACTCTTGATCTCTACCAACTCCTCCTAGGCAAGACCCAGTCCACAAGCTTCCTCCCCCAGGAAGCCTTCCAGGCAGCAGAGGAGCTAGCACAAGCTTTGGGGTTTAAATCCCTGTCCTGCCACTTGCTAGCTCTGAGACCTTTGGCAGTCACTTCCCCTCTTGGAGTCTTCTTTTTCATCTGCAAAATAGGAATCCTAATTCTTCCCTCACGTTTGTCATGCAGATTAAATAATGTGTGGAAAATGCCTGACACAGGGAAGGTGTGCAGTAAGTGCAAGTTATTTTTATTCTGCTCAACCACCCCCAAACAGAAGGGATCTCTCTCCTGCACTCCCCCAGCACTTCCTCTGTTCCCCAGCCCTTATAACTTTCTGCTTTGTACTGTGGTTATTTGTGTAACATAGCTTATTTCCCCCTCTACAGAGGATGCTCTCCAATTTCCCCCACAGAATAGCCCAGCAGACAGTGCACATGGGCACGAGTGTGTGTGTCTGTGTGTGTGGTTGTGTCTGTATATGTGCATGTCTGCATGTGTTTGTGTCTATTTTCATGTGTCTGTGGATGTGTTTTTGTTTCTAGGCTTGTCTGCCTTTGGATGTGTCTGTGTTATTGTACCTCTCTGTGCATGTGTGTGAGTGTGTGTGTGTGCACACGCAGATGTTTTGCTCCTCGCTGGGAAGAGCCCAGAGACAGGGGGTTCCCAGACCCTTTCTGAAGTCCAGGAATCTAAAGAGGGAATTGATTTTGCTTGAGCCCTGCACAGATGAGAAAC